CCCACCAAAGCTGGGCCATCCACCACATCTGTTGACATATGATTAGTTTACAATGATACCTCCGTTATCTTAGAGAGTGGAGGGATGTTCCAATGTCCTAGAACATCTTCCTGTGGCCATGAGGTTCTTGAAGATACCCCTTTATCCAATTTAAAAGGCATGCCGCGGACCAATGCGGCGTTACTCTTGGTCAAATGGAATCACACTCAAACAGAACATGCAAAACACCAGCCGCCTTTGAAATTAAGAAAATCATTAGTTGTTCACTACTTCGCTCAAAGACAAACCCTTTCGGCTACTCTGCCCCTTGACCAGGAGTTGAGATAATGCCTTCTCACATGTCTTCACCAGTGGAGCTGCTCAGCCTGCCAAATGAGCTGCTGCTCATTATCGCAGAGTCCTTGCCAGCTACTGATATCAGCAACCTGATGAAAACGTGTAACCGCTTTGCTTTGCTGCTGCAGAAAACAATCTATGCGGGTGCAGCCGATTTTAAGGTCAAGAACAACCTCCCAGCCCTGGCATGGGCAGCAGACAATGGTCGCAACTTGATGGTCCAGGCGATACTCGATGGCGCAAAGGAGCCTATCAAGAACTCGACCCTTCTTCTGGCTCTCTACATGGCCTGCCAGCACTCCAACGTAGATGTGGCCGAGATGATACTCATCGTTCTCCCGATTGCCCCCGAAGAGTCTAAGAACAAGGCGGCTAAGTACTTCTTTGTGGGCATGCAGTCCAGCAACATGACTGATAAAGCGAGAAACCGATACGTGTCAGAGGATGAGGATCTGTCAGTTCATCTTTACACCGCGGCCCGGAATGAGTGTTTGGCAATTGTGTATATGCTCTTTGCATTTCCCATGCGAGACTTTGCCAAAGCCAGAGCACTCCTGGCCGTTACCGAGGAAGGACACACTGAGGCAGTTAGAATTCTGCTTGAAATTGGCATGAAGGATGAATCTGAAAGCGTTTCTAGAGCCATCTTCTCCGCGGTGAGGAATGAAAATATTGACATGGTGAGAACGCTGATGAATTCAGGGGGAAAGTTTGTAATGCCGGTTTTGGCATACTATACTGCCATGAGGAAACCTACCAGTGAAATGGACGAGGAACTATTGGACTTGCGTGATGGTGTTCGGCTCCCTGACATGACTCATGTCTTTGTTTCAGCCGCTCAACATGCCAATTACTTCTATATCAAAACGATGCTGAACCTAGGCGATAGATGCCCTCTCGAACCAGCTGTTTTTGCTCCAGCGTTGAGAGTGGCAGCTAGCTCCCAGCAAGCAACCATGAGGATGATCAGCCTCATCATCGAGGCTGGTGGGAAACGCATCATCAAGGAGGACTTGACGCGAGCTTTATTCAACATAGCCAAATTTGAACGACCAGTCATCTCTAGACTCTTGTTGGAAAAAGGCGCGGATCCTTCGAAGAAGGTCGACGCTGGCATGACGGCACTTCATCTGGCTACCTTCAACCGCAGGCATGCTACTGCTAAATTACACATTACCTACGGGGCAGATGTCTCTGTGAAGGACGACGAAGGACGGACGGCTCTTCATATAGCTGCGATATACAACTGCCATGCCATCGCTGAAAAGCTCATCGAGGCTGGTGCTGATATCTTGGCTACAGAAAACCGTGACCTAACACCCCTACACCTTGCCGCGAACCATGGTAGCTACGAAGTTGCGCAGCTGCTCCTTCAGCACGGTGCCGACCCCTGGGAACAGACACCAGACGGCTGGATGCCGTTGAATCTTGCGGCTGTGAAGAAACATGATCGTGTGCTGGAGGCACTGTTGGCTACGCAGAAGGTTCCTTTCCGTGTCGAAGAGCGCCAACGAATCATCGATATCATGGAAGGTCGGTTCCCTGATTTTTGATTGGACTGGATACATTTTTGGCATAGCGAATATTGGCTTTGATTGACCACGGAACATGCATGAATTAGTTTTATATCCTGCCAGGATACAAGAATTTGGAGGGTATTCGGAGTTTAGGGTCATGGAAGGGAAATTGATTTAGGTAGATATGGAACGGAGGAAACTAATTGCTATTTCTCGGGACATTAAATTAAATTCATGGTTACGGGATTCAATAAGGAGTAATAAAGGATTATTAAACGAACTTCTAAGGACAACTTTCGGACTGTACACAAATCATTATCAGAGACGTCAGGTAGAATAGAGAACCAACCACACCAGGTTCAAATCGCTAGAGGAAAATATCATACAGACATGCAAAACGAAATAAAAAAGACTGCAACCATATTTAAAGAAACTTTCATATGCTACACAAAGAGGCCCTGGTTCCTGTACAAAACTGGTCTTGAGCCGAGCTAACTCCATGTCATGTCATTCACAACAAGCTAATACCGAGGTTGGTGTGGAGGTGGTTGTTGGTAGGCCTGGTGATGGTGGTGGTGATATCCCTGGGGCCCATGGGCACCTGGGGGTAGATGTAATGGCTGATGAGAAGGCGGAAGTGGAGGGGGTGGTGGGTGTGGATGATATTGCATATTTGGCGGTGGAGGCAAATACTGAAGGTGAGGATAAACATTCTGCGGGTGATGAGGATAGGCCATGGGCATTCCGTGAGCGGGAGGCTGCATATTTGGTGGTGGTGGCGGGGGTGGTTGATGTGGTGGTTGATGTGGTGGAGGAGGTGCCTGATATGGAGGCGGAGGGAGGCTGGGGCGATGGTAGCCCATTTCTTGCAAGGGAGGTAGATGTTGAGTCCTCGGAGGAAATATATTAGGTAGACGCAGATGTTCACTGAGGTGGGGAAGCACTTGGGACTGTGACCTTGTTGCTACCGGGGGTAATTGTTGCTGTGGAGGCCCTTCAGGATGGACATGAGGGTGATTCTGTAACGGAGGGTGGAGGTGAGGAGGTGGTGGACCAGCGAACTGGGGTGCAGAGTATCTACGCAAGTCTGTAGAGGAAGGGTACATTGGAGGTGCGAGAGGTTGCGGGAGGAGTGGTCTATGAGACTCATGACGCATCTGGCTGTATTGTGGTTGTGGTTGTTGGAGCTGTGGCTCAGGCTGTTGTGGCGCTTGTATGTTTGGTGGAGGTTGAAGCAGAGCAGAGGTTGGTGGGAGTTGTTGTATTTTAGGCGATGGCTCAGGCGGCTGCTTTTTCACTTCGCCTAGATCCAAGGCAGCATTCGCCAGGGCATCTAAGGGATTTGGTTCTTCGACTTCTTCAATCTTAGGTTTTTCCCCTTCTGCGATGTCACAAGCTTCAACCAGCGCACCCATTAAGCGTGAGAAACGAGGATTGGTGAAACGCCCGTTGATGCCATCACCGTCCTGCGGCGCTGGCAGTTCAGCTTCCTGACTCATGGCCACTATCCGCGGCCATATTTCTTCTCCTATCTTGGTCCGCTGGGCGAGGTCTTCCCACCCATTCTCCACACGTTCATACAAGGCAGCACCTTCTGGATCCCGGACAAATGAGCTATCAAACCCACGAGCAAACCGAGGACTAACTGGTGTCCGCGGCTCGGAAGCTGATTCTTCGTTTCTGTGTGGCTGCGTCTGCGCAGTGCGTGACTTTGTCTGAAGCTTCCATGAACGAGCTCGGGCGGCATGATATGTTCATCCATCACATTGTCGATTTTGTTTTCGAAATGAGTCTTGATCCGGAACTCCTCGGTCTCCCGCCAGACATCCAAGTTCCGCTCACGGTAACTGTATTCTTTTCAATCAAGTCTTCAGCCTTGCGAAGTTTCTTCTCAAGTCCTTGGAGTACCTCGTTATAGAGGCTGGACGCCATGTGCGCCTTTGGGTCTTTGATCAATAAAGCCTCTGAGCGGCTGGCCAATGCTAAAACAGCCGATTTTTGTACAGCAGCAACTTTGCGGAATATTTGGCTGAGATCCTTTTGACGCTGTCGAAACCGCTGAACAACAGCGCCTGCCTTTGGTGAGAGGTCGCGGTCAGCCACCAGCTGCCTGCCACCACCACGGCCAGCACCGCTGCGACCTCGAACACTGCGGCCACCACGGCGGGTCCCTCTAAACCCCCCTCGCCACCTGCCGGGCCCATTTGAGGTAGAATTTGAAGACATTTGTGTGGTGCTGCCAAGCGGAAGAGACAGATCACACAAGGCAAGGAATAGAAGGCAAGCACAAAGGAAAGGGGCAAAGAGAACCAGGGCAGTGAAGGGAGCGCAGATGTCAGCTCAGAGACACTCTCGTATGATAACAGAGTGGTTATTACAGAAGATTTGTGGTCTTCCGCATGTCGTTGCTGTCAAAGTCCAGGTAAAGGTATGTAGAACAAATCAGGCTCCTTTTAGAGTTGTATAGTTCTGAATAGGTGGGAGCCGGTGCCAGGAGCAATGTGATATGTAATGAAAGGGGCAGAAAAGTAAACTAGAGATGCAAATGCAGTAGACAAACTTGCCAGCAAAGTCCTGGGGCTTCTAACGGCCGTTTCATGCAGCAGAGGGTGTCATGTTCGTGGTCAAAGTAGGAGGACATACAAGGACGTTTCGGAGGTTTTGAAGTAAGAAAACAGAAAGCGAAAAAAGGCCGTCACATGACTTACGGAACAACAGATCCGCCGCCCCCACGAAACCTTATTTTCACGTGATGAACACTTTTTCTTGACATCTTGAATTAAGCAACATAAGATTGTTTATAGATGGCCAGGAACAGCAGTAAACAATCGGAGACCGGGGAACAATACAGCTTATAATACTGCCGAATCGAGGATAATAGGAGGACAAGCAGTGATACGCTGTCAGCAGGGGCGGAGCAAGAGCGAAAACTGAGAGTGAGCGCAGCATGTCGAAGGCCGCCGCGGATCAGACTACCGACCACTCGCGTTGGAGGCTCCGCAATGACCGTGGAACCCAGACATGGCACTATCTACGGACGGACAAGGAAGTCGAAGAATGGCCGCAGACTATAGCAGACAAGTATTTTCTCGGTCAGCCTCTGGTTGGAGCTTCCCTCTTCCCCCTCTTCAGGCCCGCCCTGGCAGCCTGCTAGCTGTTTTACCTCCCCCCTGACTGGGTAACTGGAGCTAACCCGGTTTCCATGTACTCTAGGACCTACCGGAGCTCCCACCTGCCAAAACTCCCCTGCAGTCCGCTTCCAATGGTTTGGAATTCTTCTCTAAACTTCAATTGGAACCGGGGAACTGGGCCTGCGAATATGGTGGACCCATGTTCCTCCTACCCGGTCTAATTGTCACTTGGTATGTGACACACACCCCAGTACCACCTGAATTCTCTATCGAGATCAAGAGGTATCTCTTTGCCAGACAGCATCCGGAAGATGGAGGATGGGGTCTTCACGTCGAGGGGCACAGCTCCGTGTTTGGCACTGCCATGAATTATGTTGCCTTGCGGCTGCTAGGGGCCAGTCCTAAGGATCCTCGGATGGTGAAGGCGCGAAGCAAGCTGCATGAATTGGGTGGTGCTCTGTATGGGCCTCACTGGGCCAAGTTCTGGCTCTGTGTCCTCGGAGTCATGGGATGGGACGCTCTCAATCCAGTTCCTCCCGAGTTATGGTGAGTGGCTACTCTCTCTTGCTCCTTAGTGGAGTATACATCGCTCTAACCGGTCACTACAACAAACATATAGGCTACTCCCTGACTGGGTGCCGTTTGCTCCCTGGCGGTGGTGGGTTCATATGCGACAAGTCTTTCTTCCAATGACTTATGTCTACTCTAAACGGTTTAGCCACCCAGCCGACTCTCTTACCCGGGAAATACGGGAAGAAATATATACCCAATCCTACGATTCTATTAATTTCGCCTCTTACAGGGGTTGCATTGCTGATGCCGACAACTATCACCCAAAATCTGCGCTTTTGAAGATTCTCTTCTGGATCCTTGCTAACATATGGGTCTACCTGCGCTGGCCAGGCCTTGTCAAGGCAGCAGAGGCCAGAGTTTGGCACCTGATTCAACGGGAGGACGAGAACACCGATTATGCATGTCTTGGACCTGTCAACGCTCCCATGAATACCCTCTGTTGTTACATCCACGATGGGCCCCAGAGCAAGTCTTTCAGTTGCCACCTGGAACGTTTACACGACTTCCTCTGGATGAAAGACGAGGGGATGTTAATGAACGGCACAAACGGTGTTCAGCTCTGGGACACTGCTTTTGTGATTCAGGCCGTAGTTGTTGCAGGTCTTGCGGAGGATCCTAAATGGAAGCCAATGTTGGTAAAGGCTCTTGAATTCGTTGAGGACCATCAGATGCTTGAAACCATTCGCGAGGAAAAGGACTGCTATCGGTTTGAGACCAAGGGAGGATGGCCCTTCAGTACTAAGACTCAGGGATACACCGTTAGTGACTGCACCGCAGAAGGTTTACGGTCTGCTCTTCAGCTGCAAAAACAACTTGGCTACCCAGCCCTCATATCTGACGAACGACTCAAGTACGCTGTGGATACTCTCCTCAAAATGCCTAACCCAAGTGGTGGGTTCCCGGAGTATGAACCTGCCAGGGCCTCGGAATACGTCGAGATGCTCAATGCTGCGGAAGTATTCGGCGGTATAATGATTGGATACACTTTCCCCGAATGTACCACTGCGGTCGTCACGGCATTGTCCTACTTTAGCAAGTTCTTCCCGGGCTATAGAACAGAAGATATCAAGAAAGTCCGTGAAGCTGCTATAGACTATATTCGACGTGTACAACGCCCTGACGGCAGTTGGTATGGAAGCTGGGGTATTTGCTTCACATACGCCGCCATGTTCAGCCTGGAAAGTTTGGCTACTGTGGGTGAAACTTACGCTACTAGTGAAAGATCCCGTCGCGGCTGTGAGTTCCTTCTGTCCAAGCAGATGGAGGACGGCGGTTGGGGTGAATCGTACCTCAGCTGCTCGAAGAAAGTCTATCACCATTACCATACCTCTCAGGTCGTCCAGACGTCCTGGGCCTGTCTTGCGTTGATGGAAGCAGATTACCCCCACAAAGAGCCGTTGCAACGTGCTATGAAACTTCTCATGTCTCGACAGCAGCCGAATGGCGAATGGTTGCAGGATGGCATTGAAGGAGTTTTCAATATGTCCTGGTCAGTCCCTAATACTTTCTGTCTTCACTGTTTATACATTACTGACATATATCAGCATGATCACATATCCTAACTATAAATATTACTGGCCAATTAGGGCTCTCGGCCTTTACGCAAAGAAATTCGGCAATGAAGAGATCGTCTAGATATGCCACTGTAAACGATGTTTTAATCAATGAGAATGGGACAGGGCAACAAAAGGGGGACTACTTTTCAATATATAACAATTTTAATAACGTCTCATGATATTTTAAGTCCTAATCATGGCCTACTTCTCTCCTTTTCTTCCACACGGTTGTTACCTACCAATCTAAACCATCCAAGCCCCAGTCGGGGCCCGAGCAAGGTCACGTGAAGATAGCAATTGATCTTGAGTTTTCGCTGAGCTTCCATCAAATCCAAAACAACGACGAGTTAGCTAGTTACGTAGCTCTGGTCAACTAACAGCAGCGGACCTACACTGACCAAGTCACCACACCTGCAAGATGGATGACGCTCAAAGGGGAGCTAAGGCTCTGGATAACTCCGACTTTCCCGCCGCGATTAAATGCTATACCAAGGCCTTGACTGTTAACCCCCATGCCACAGACTACTATATCAAGCGATCAACCGCTTATTCGCGAGTAAAGCCTGAAGATGGCGGTCCTAAGCTACATGAAGCTTTGCATGATGCTGATATGGCTGTTGCTCTCGGCATTCAGCGAGCCAGACGGGAACAAATCATTGCCGGACAAATGAGGCGAGGTATCGTTCTCTATCAAAGTGAACGGTACGGCGACGCACAGCTTATCTTCCAGGTGGTGCGCGCGAAAGTGGGACAGGAGGACGATAGCAAAAAGAGTGATCTCAGCGCTGCGTTAGCTAGCCATGAAAATTCAACAGCCTCTCAAGATAAGAAGACCAGACAACAGCTCCAAATATGGGAAATGAAAGTCAAATCACAGATGGCTAAACTCGAATCTTCGGACGAAAAGACCAGGGTCGTGGTTAAGGAGATCCCAGACATCAAAGTACCGACTCAGGACGAGTTGAAAGCGATGTACCGTGCGCAGCTAGAGAATAGAAGTGCCTCTTCTACTCCAAACTCGAGTGGATTGTCTACGACCCAGAAAAAGAAGGATACAGCCGCGGAGGCCAATCCTGCTCTATCGACAGCGAACCCTCCTCCCACCCCTCTTCCATCTAATACCCCAAGTAGGACAAGGCATGAGTGGTATCAGTCTAACGACAGTGTGGTAATTACCATATATGCGAAAGGAGTCCCCAAGGACAAAGCAGAGGTTGACATTCAAGAAACTTCGGTTAGAATTCAATAGCCTATGCCCCCTAAAGCTTTGAGTATGCGTGACTAACTGCCTCTAGTTTTCCATTACCTTCCCTCTTCCATCAGGATCTGAATTCTCTTTTGTTCTAGATCCTCTGTTTGCTCCAGTCGATCCATCTTCTTCAAAATTCAATATAATGTCTACCAAAATCGAGGTTACTTTACGCAAAAAATCAGCCGGTAGGAAGTGGGCAACTTTAGAAGGCACCGGTCAGCAAGAAGAGACGATATCTTCAGGAGCTAGGTCTTTAGAGGATGCCTCTAACCAAGCAAATCAGCCTATCAAAACCGATAAGGCTCCCGCATACCCAACATCTTCCAAATCTGGACCCAAGGATTGGGATAAAGTCGTGTCAAACATCCAGAAAAATGAGAAGAAAGCGAAGAAAAGTGAGAAAGGAGATGATTCAAAGGAAGATGACAAGGAAGATGACCCTGACTCAGATTTATCGGATTACGGGTCCGGAGACGCCGTGGATTCATTCTTCAAGAAATTATATGCCAACTCCGATCCGGATACCCGACGTGCAATGACTAAGAGCTTCTACGAGAGTAACGGAACAGCGTTGAATACCAATTGGAGTGAAGTCGGAAAAGGCAGAGTTAAGGAGCATCCACCATCTGATGATTAGTTATTGACCAACATAAGATACGTATCCGGGGGGATGCTAACTATTCAACTGGCAAAGCAAAACACCAGTTCATGGCTAGACGATAATTTATGAGTATGAGTTACGGCAACCCTGATAACAAAAGCGAAATCAAGTTTTAGTGTTTGTCGACATGTGGGCGTTCCATTCTTCTTATATCAATATGTATTATCTATCTTATCGTCAGATAAGAGTAAATTATAGGTGGTTATATTATTCGCTTCTGCAAATGAATAACGAACTCAACCCTAGTTAAAAGACATGTAATATCTCGCTATGGCTTAGTATGCATATCCTTTCAATTCTGGCTGGATATTACCTATTGGGGATCAGGTACAAATAGAGTCTATATAAAGTGCATCGCTCAATTACTCTCTAGCTACTATTACATTCATTCTTACTTCGATACATAATAAATTGAGAAAATATAGCTAGGTCCATAAACAAAGTACCCAAGCTTCCCAATAACCATGAAGCATTAACAGCCATATACCGTCCATATATACTTTGTCGTTCTCCTGGTAGACACCTGCCATCTTTACCTTGGCAAACTGGCGAATAGGCAAAGATAGAAAGGACATAGGTCAGATTGCCAATACATGCAAATAGGAAGAAGAGGAGTGATACTCCTTCGGTGCTCTTTCGGCGCCAATTCAGCAGGAGTTGAGGGATTCTGCTGGCAAGATAGAACAAAGCACAAAGATATCCAAATAACTGACCAGTGATATCGAATTGGAGAGTGCCATCTGATTTTGGAATATCATGCCCAATGTGGTGTCTTGAGGTGGCGCTAACATACCACCCTAGAATTCCAGCAGCGCATACGAGAGTGATACTGAAGGTGTTGAAGGCTATTATCTGAAACGTTGATGACGGTCGCGGGGGAATATCGACGACTTCTTTCCTTAGTGGCACTGCTGGGGAGAGATGGGTCCCGTCGACGGCTGTAAGATGGTTTCGCAAAGAGGCGACTGAAGTAAGGGATTCCCGTCGCTGCTTCGTGGCCGGTCTGCCATTTGACCCGTTATGTTCCCCCTCTGGTCTATTCTGTAGTAATGGAGTTCGCTCGGACGATGGTACCGTTTGTGTTGCAGTTTCGGATGACGAACTGGCTGTTCCAGCTTCTGGCTCTGGGGATTTGGTGCTTTCTGATCCGCCCAGATCACGGTAATAGAAACATTGGCCAAGCAAGACAATGTCCGCAATAGTGTAGTATACTGCCAGTATGATCATAGTAGGTAGAACACCTTGCATAACGGCCCCAATAATGTTGAAGACATCTCCGGCAAGCCAAACGATAAGAAATTCCAGAGAAAGTCCATCGGCGGAGCTCCGTCGGAAGTTTTCGATTATCTGGGGCGAAAATACAACAACCCAGCAAGCTATTGATATGGATCTATCAAATACATCAGCATATGAACGTGGAAAGCGACCCTCCGCTCAACAAGTCCTTAAGGCTATCTCTATATGCCAAGTATAGCATGTCAAATATAAGGCGAGGAAATTAGCGATAATGACCTACCCGCAAATCCCGCTCAATGCTTCGATGCTCGGTGCAGAGCTGAGAGGAAGCATTTCTACCCTCAGAGCTAGGGTAGCTAGGCAAACAAAACAAGATGACGAAAGTGCTCGGCGAAAACAGAATCACAGGAACTGCTATCTCCAATGTATGAAATGGCTTTTATTGTTAAAGAGCTGGATCCATGACAAGCAGGTTTGCAATTAAAAGGAATGTCTTTCCATGGAAAATGTCAAAATGTCGACGTCATATTCACGTGACTGCGTTTCTTACCACGGTTCCGTGGTAAGCTCACCCGAGGGAGAAACACGTAGAAAAGATATATTAACAGAACTAAGAGAACGGGTTCATGGAAGGGGTGTGACGTCGTCGTGATTGGTATCGCTAACGACGTCTTTCCACTCTTCTAGAAGAGCAAGTGTATCCTTGCACTTATCCCGCATCAGCTCGCAAGCTTCGGCACCCAGAGCAACCCGGACTGGAATCTTCCGGCCAGCGGCACAGCCAGTCTGCGTGAGAATGTCGACAATAATCTTGCTACCTTTTACCAGATCTCCGGGTTGTTTATGGTCTTGGCTATTGCTTTCTTCGATTGCTGCTCTGGTAGGAGTGTTGTCGTAATCTGGAATGGGATGTATTGCAGCAAATCGATGGCCTGCAGCCAGTAGATTTGACCGGAAATCACCAGGCTCAAGGGAGGTGACAGAAATGCCAAATGGCTCTAATTCTACACGAAGTGTCTCTGTAGCTCCCGAGAGGGCCTTCTTTGTCGCGGAGTATAGTCCACCTCCGGCAGTATTTGTCCAAGAACCAGCGCTGGATGTATTGGCAATGACACCGGAGTGCTGCGATCGCATATAGGGTAGGATCGCACGGATAACGTTTAACGGCCCAAACACATTTGTGTTGAACAGGGCGTAAGTTTCCTCTGGACTGTTGTGAGAATGTTAGGGATAACATTCCCAGGAACGGGAGGTGGCTGGCAGGAGATATCCTACCTTACTTCCTCCAAAGCGCCTTGCTGAATATACCCAGCATTATTGACAAGAATATCAATACGTCCATAGATGTTGTAGGCCTCCCAGACGAGACGTCGGATATCGTCAAGACTACTCGTGACGTCGAGTCCAAAGACATCAGCGCCGGCATCCTTCAGCTTGCCAATCCTTTCAAGTTTCCTGGCAGTCGCGATCACTTTATCGCCTCGTCTCAGGGCTTCGAGGGTCATCTCCCATCCAAAGCCGGACGAGCAACCGGTGATAAACCACACTCGAGGAGCCATGTTCGACGTGTGATAGCGGAAAAATGACGTGAAAATGCCAAAATAGTTTCAATCTTCCCTCTCAAAGAGGTGAAACCAATGGAGTTTATAAATTAATCTCAGTTACCGTCCTGAGGCGCATTCTTCCGACTTTCAGGGATGATTTCGATGCCATCCACATCAAAACCTCGGGTTATTCGTCAGAGTTGCGGAAGGATCCAACGAGATTAAGAGCAGAAGCGGGATTTCTCCTATCAAACGTAATATCTCGGTCAGCTTGTTTTTTGCTCTTTCTTGACAATCGATTGGAAGGGCTGCGTAGGCTTTGGTGCACTATGAAACCCTAAAACAAAACCCGCAGAGTCGCACCCGGAACATCCCCGGAGGTGTATTTTCATGACGGTAGAGGAGGATATGTCTAATAGGTTTCTCTCGGTGTCGAATCTTGCGGTGTGAGGTTTAATGCTTGACGATCCCGTAGTGTCCTTATGAGAAGCAGACAGAGGCGCAGGGGGTGTTTTGACGTCGTCACTTCTACAATTCCAAATCGGGACGGGACGCCCGGCAGGAGGCTGACGGAGCGGAGATACTTTAATCCTTAATTATACCGGCGCATGGGCCAGGTCTTCCTCCTTGCTCTTTTCAGACAGACTGAGAATACGATCATACAGATCGATATCTCATATTATCAGACATGTGTACTATACATAGGCCCTAAAGGGCCTGTCCGCTCTTGCTAGCTAGGTAAAGCCTTTGATATACACCCCCAAGGGATATCAGTTGCGTGTGGGTCCCGGCTTCGACGATGCGGCCATCACTCATAACATAGATCCGGTCTGCGTTGACGACGGTGCTCAGTCGGTGAGCGACAGTGATCGTCGTACGTCCCTGTTTAGCTTTCTCAAGAGCCTGTTGAATGCTTGCTTCTGATTGTGAATCCAATGCAGACGTGGCTTCGTCCAGTAGCAAGATCCTAGATCGGCGAAGGATAGCTCGAGCAAGTACAACACGCTGCTTCTGGCCAACACTAAGTTGGTTACCTTTGCTGCCTACTTCTGTGTTATAGTCGTCACTGGATAACGAGGAACTTGGTTAGGTTCATAAAATGAAGGTGAAGAATATACGAGGCTAGAAACTCACGGAAGACTGATGATGAAATCGTGGATATTAGCTTCACGACAGGCATTATAGATTTCATCATCTGTTGGCTTTTCATTTTCACCCAACCCAAGGGTCAGGTTCATCTTCAGTGTACCGCTGAAGAGGTTAGGCTCTTGGCTAACCAGCCCTATGCGACTGCGGTACTCTGACAGGCAGAGCGACCGAATGGGCTTCGAGTCAACGAACACCGTCCCATCAATAGGGTCATAGAAGCGCTCGATCAGTGAGATGATAGTGCTCTTGCCTGAACCAGTGGCGCCGACAAAGGCCACATTTGCTCCTGCTGGGATATTGAAGCTTACTTGGTCTAGGGCGCGGTGATTTGGGCGCGAAGGATATGAGAAGCTAACCGAGTCAAAGGCGATGTCACCGCGCAGCGGGGTCAGTTTCTCCCCGTAAGGGGATGACGGGTCAATAGACGATTTTTGTGTCAACAAGCGCTGCAGAGATGCGGCAGCTTGCTTTGCCTGGCCGATATTTGGAGTCCAGGAGAATACCAAACCGGCAGAGATGGCACTCATAAGCATCGCAGACTGGACGGCGATCGATTGGAAAAGGGTATACTCTCCACTAAGGATGAGCTGACCGCCGTACCAGAAGCTGAGAGCCATGCAGGCATAGTAAGCTGATTGGGTTAAGGCATATATGAAGGACGATTTCAGATTTGCTACCAGAGCCTCCTTTTTAGTGCTGTTGAGAATTGCCTCGAACTCTGCCAGTGCAACTTTCTCCCGGGTTAGAGCAGCGATGGTCTGAATACCATTAAGCGTCTCTCCGGCAAATTCAGCAGCTTTATTGGCAAAGACCTCATTATTTCTCTCAAAGTTTCCAACAAGTATAATCCCAAAATAACCCCCTCCTATCATCAAGGGGACCACTGCAAAACACACAAGCGCTAGCTTCCATCCAAGTGCAAATCCAACTAGGATTCCAGAAACAAGAGAAGAGATACAGATAAGGATGGCGCCCAGAGCGCTACCACTCAGCCCTGTCAGGTCACTGGTAGAGTTGGAGAGGAACCCAGAGAGAGCAGCCGCAGAATTTTCTTTCTTATCAAAGAAGGATATATCCATTCTCAGGTACTGGCTGAGGGCGAGAGACCTAACTCGTTTCGTGAGATGCTCTGAACTGAAGGCAAAAGTGATGCCTTGAACGGCGAACCCTACCAGCATCACAACCGCCAGGGCAAAGAACATCCATGCATAAAAGCTTGCATTAGATAGGATCTTGTCTGCGTGGTCTAGGGGCTGAGAGATGGATGTGATAGCTTTACCAAAAAGAATTGCAGAGGCCGGTTCCTCAAATCCCACAACAATGCAGCAGATGAGTCCTATAATGAGCCAATGCGATTCTCCCTCATTGAGCCTAAAAATGAATAGGATCATAGACCAGAGTGAAGACGAAATTATTGACTTTGCATTGTTATCACCTGCCATAACTTTATGAACTCCTTCAGTTGCAGGCGGACTTTCGTCCCTTTCATGAGTTGGGGTTACATTGGCCGTCTCAGGAATGGTTGATGTCGCCGTCCGATCCTTATTCCCTATATCCTGTGCCTGCACCAGGTCATAATAAAATGATTTAGCAGCCAGCAAGTCGTCGTGCCTTCCACTCTCGACGACACGCCCATCGTTGAGAACAACGATATTATCCGAATTGCGGATTGTGGAGAGGCGATGGGCAATAACTATGGTGGTCCTCTTGCTGTCTTTTCCTGCCATGGTCGATAACAGCCTAGCTTCTGTCTCACTATCAAGAGCTGAAGTCGCCTCGTCTAGAATAAGAATCCGAGGGTCTCCAACCAAAGCTCGAGCAATAGCGATCCTTTGGAGCTGGCCTCCAGAGAGTCTCGAGCCCCGTATACCTACGACTGTGTCGTATCCCTGGGGCAGCCGGTTGATAAATTCACTTGCTTGAGCTATATCGGCAGCCTTATATACGGCTCGCTCCCGTTCAAGCGAAGAGGCGATTTCCCACTGAGGCCTGGTAAATCCACACGCAATATTCTCGAAGATGGACCGATTAAACATGAATGATTCCTGTTTCACGACGGCGATCTGTTGACGAAGCCAACGAAGTTGATAATGTGACAGGTCTGTTCCATCCAGGAGGATACGCCCTTCCAGGGGATCGTAGAAGCGCAAGAGAAGATTTGAGATAGAGCTTTTCCCGGATCCAGAGTGTCCTACAATAGCTGTAATTTGTCCCATTGGAAACTTGATGCTCACGTCTTTCAAGGTGACGACGTTTGGTCGGCATGGATATATGTGCCTCACATGACGAAGCTCTAAAGTGCTGTCAAAGCGCTCTGGTATATACCCGTGGTCCGAAGATGAATCTATTGATGACACGCGCTGAATGATCCTTGCAAGGCGGCCGGCTCCTGCTGTAGCCGCAGCAAATGCTTCCAAATTTGAACCAACACCCAATACGCAGAAGGCAGCAGACTTGGATATCATTGAGATGGCTACAATTGAAGTAAAAGACGTTTTGCCCTCCGTAAGCCGAATTGAACCTTGCCAAAATGCTAGCGCAACATTGAAATAGCCGCTTGCGATGCAGATGGTGAGAAGGAGTTGGTTGAGTGAGGAGAGAATAAAACCGTGCTTGGCCGCTTGTGTTAAAAAGTTCATATATTTTGCATGAATATATGGCTGCATACCCAAAGAGGTTACCGTTTTGATAGAGCCGAGTGCTTCTTCGACCACAGCTGATCCGGCCGAGGATGCCTCGATGCTGCGACCGCTGTATAGAACGGTTAATTTGCCGCCAAAGTAGAGGACTCCGTAGCCCAGTGCAAAAGACCAGGTCATTTCAAGCATCAAGACCCAGTCAAGAATGAAACACGCCACAATAGTAGTGATAAATGTGCCAAAGGCGCTGATGGTCTGTGACAGCTTGGAGGAAATGGCATTCTGTATTGCCTTTGTGTCGTCCGTGAGATGGGAAAGGATATCACCAGACCCGTTGTCGTCGAAAAGTGCCATATTTTGCTTCAGAACGGCTGCGAGGTAGTGCATTTTGATTCGGTGTGCGACTCTAGCTCCGACAAAGTTGAAGCCAGCTGTCGAGACAAACCATGTTACCAGGGCTGTGATAAGGACATAAACATAGTATACCACATACTTCTCCAGCAGTGGTTTCACACTGTAGCCGTTAGACTCGGCCCTGGAAAAGGCGAGAATAATCCGCGAGCTGATAAGCTATATGGTCGAAGTACAGCGTTAGTTTATACACCTTTGATCGTTGGAGGAAGCAGTGAAAATCACCGGTGTAAATGGAACCAAGCCACCCGCAACAATCGCACATACAGTGCATATGGCGATAAGGACAGTTTCCGGCCAAGTTGCATAGCTAAAGATGCTGAAGAAGGACAGCTTCACATCTTCCACTCGCAGTTGTGACGCCAGGGCTTCTTGCTCCTTAGCAGTTACATCTGTCAAGGTTCCGTATGCAACAGATCTCGCACCCCCAGGCAATAGTTTCCTCCGAGCAGACTCTCCTCGTTCATCGTTCCCGACCATTGCGGCGCAAATTCTGGGAAATGACTGACACTATCAGCCAGCAGTTCAGGACCAACTTTAGAGAGATATTTCATAGAGCGGATATAGTAGTCACAGCAATGGGTATTATAAAAAAGGACAGGCCCAGGATGATAGCTGTCGTTACTTATTATTGCCAACTACAGATTTCCCAAGAAACAGGTAATGCATTCAATTGGAGGCGATTGGTTCGGATTTTGGCGAACCTGGTTCACACTGCCGGGATACGTTCGGCGAGCCAGACCGGGAATAGAGCTCCGTTTAGCTATCCTTCTACAGTGGATCAGATATACGAAACAGCCGTGAGGGTATGTTATATGCTGATTAACAAGATGCCTAGATCAAGATGGGTTGGGTGTTTTCTACCCCCTGGTCGAGCTGGCTGAGTCGGAGGCCAAACCTGGTTAACCTCTCGTAGTCAGCTGAGTGTTCTCCGTCTAGGGTACATGAGTTTTCACTGCATTTGCCCCTGAAAGAAATCCTTCAGCTGTCTGTGTGTAAGATTACCCCCATTTTAGCGGGATAGGGATTGGGGGGTTGCCTTGGGGTTATCGTGCTATCAGCATCCAGAGGGATATGCAGTAGTGGCGGATTTACATACTTCGTTGAACTGGTGCATTTCTATATTATATCATCTACAAAGCGTCGGCAGCCTGGGCTTTGAATTGCTCTATGGCCTCCCGCTTGAGCTGTCTTTTGCTCTTTGTAGGGCCATTGCCATTGCTCTCTGTCGGAGTGATTTTTGACGGCCATTTCTCTCTGCAGCGTTTCTCATCTTCTTCTGACCAGGCACAGGGAAGAATCGCAAATACTAGGTATGATGTATGTGTCTTAAGCTCAGGCTCGGAACGGTGAATAAGCGTTCCCTGCTTGTACTGCGGAACCGAGGGCTTCGGTTGCCACGTCCTTTCAGTCCTTGCAGGTATTGGCTCAGCAGGGCTATCATCTTTGATCGATTCTGATATGGTTTCCATGTTCTCTGATTTGGCACCATTCGCCTCTTCCTCATTGCCTTCAGCAGCCTTCTTGCTGGCGAACTCTGCAGCGTTTCTGATCTGCTTCTCACGGAACGCCTTTGCGCGCTCCTCGTGAGTCCTCAGCCGGTCAATTGCCTGTTCTACAGTTTTGGGATCCGGTGCTGAGGCATTCTTGTGGTATGATTCTACCCCATATCGTTCTCTTCGAACTTCTATCTGCCTATGCACAACTTCAACCATGGATATTGCCAGCCACGAATACTGTCGAAGAGTGCCGATAGTCTGTTGTGCCTGTTCTAGACAAGGTGAAAAGGTACATATATGTACCGGTGAAGTGGGATCCAGTGGTGACTCCTTTCCGTCAGTAGGCTCCCTGACTAGGTGCTTGAGTGCTTGCCAGGGAGCAGGGAGATCCAGAAAAACAGCATTAGCCCGTGGCGACTCGTTACTGACCGGCCCGTCTGCTAGCAGAAACCCATCGGCACAAACATCACGGTGGTTCAGTCTCACAATCCCATCCAAGCCGTGTTCTCCTAATTCCCTCTTGATGGTTTCCGCACGCTGCGAGTGAAATTCGAAGCTGCACACCTTACCTCGCTGGCTATCATTTGTGCCATTGGGATAACCATTGAACACTGCCCTCGCAGCCGCGTGAGTAAATGAGCCACTACCAGCACCGGCCTCTATAATTGTGCTTCCGGGACGAACGCGCAGCCGGTGTAAAATGTAGCTGCTATCTGGAATGTATACCACCTGCGTCCGATGGGGCAGCGAGCTGGTCCACGACTCTGGTGTAGGCCGCAGAAGGTGTATAAAGCCGCTTGATGCAGTGACTGCCGCCTTGTTCGTAGACTTATCCTCTGATATATCGGCGTCCTCTGCCTTGCGCTTCAACGGGTTCGATCCTTTGCCCGTCTTTGGTCGGCGTCCTCGAGAGCCGGTGTCGACCTTCGAAGCAATGATCTGGGACCCCCAGGGACTGCCGATGAGCGTGCTATGGGGAAATGAGCCGAACCTCGTCGTCGTGACCTTGCCTTCGTCGTAGCCCAGGTCCTCGTCGTCGTGTGTCTTCAGTACTGTAGCAATCGCATGGTCGCGGCGGAGATGCAGCACCGCGAGGGAGTCAGCCTCAGCAGTCGGCCCGGGCGTGAGAAAAGGAGACACCATCGTTTCAATTGAGCCTGGCTGTCCTTCAACGGCTTTCCTTCTCTTCTTCTCACCCTTCGTAGGTTTTCTGTAGTTTCAACTTGCTCGTGAGCATCGAAAGGAAAAAAATAATCCAGGGCACAGCGATTGCAAACAGTGCAAACTCCATCCAGCGACTCGCTGTCTTTTCTTCTTCTAGATGCGCAAAAAGAGTCATAAAGCCGACTCAGCGCAGCGCCAGCACCAAGACACACATACATGAACCTCCTCCGGCAGAGCTTTCGTCTTCCTCGAGCCACAGTCACAGCCGCTTCGACACGCCGTCTCCAACCTGTTCCCGGGTTCTGCAGAGCGTTTGCGATATCCCCGTCTGTCTCTATGGCAGCTCCCCGCGAACAGCCTCTGTGGCAGCAGCCCACACCCCACCAAGGGCTGCAGCGAGAGCTGCCGCCGCTGAAGATCTGGAACTCGCTGACCAGGTCGAAGACTCCGTTTGTGCCTCTGGACCCTGAAGGGAAGAAGGTAACCTGGTACGCCTGCGGTCCGACAGTGTACGACGATGCGCATCTTGGGCACGCGCGCAACTATGTCAGCGCAGACATTGTCCGGCGTATCCTCCGGGACTATTTCAAATTCGATGTTAGATATATCATGAATATAACGGATGTGGATGACAAGGTATGTTCAGTTTGCCTTGTCTTGTTGTGCATTAATGGCTGTTGACCTTTGATCTCCTAGATTATCACTCGAGGTAGACAGCAGCACCTGTATAATCAATTCAGCGCCGAGCACCCGTCAATCGATCAAGAACTTCTGGATATCGCCAAAGCTGCTTATGAAGCCTATATCACAGACAACCTGCCGCTAGTACCGGTATCGACGCCAACAAACGAGTTCAAAGAGACCGCCGAGAAAGTATACGCTGCTGTCCTTGATGGAAAGCCCCTTGAAGGCAATTTAAAGCCAGGCGAGCCGGAGGCTAAGGTTAAAATGTATATAAAGACACTGTCTACTGCTGCTGAGGCGCTTACGGTAGCTTCAACTCCCGGCGGTAGCATACCAGTAGCTACCTTCTACGACAAGACCCAGGATATACTATACCCCCACCTTGATACCCTTAAGGGAGCATCAATCCAAGGCTCCGACCACTCAATATTTACTCGTCTGACTAGAGAGTATGAAGATCGATTTATGCAGGATGTACGGGACCTCAATGTCCTGGATCCCGACGAGATCACTCGAGTCACAGAATTTATGCCTGAGATAGTGAGCTTCGTTGAACGTATAATTGAACACAAGTTCGGATACGTGACCCCTGACGGGTCTGTTTATTTTGATATTGAGAATTTTGAGGCCGCCGGGAATAGCTACGCGAGGCTTGAACCTTGGAATCGCAATGATGCCAATCGACAGTCAGAGGGAGAAGGGTCTCTATCTAACAAGCAGGCTGAAAAGAAATCTTCTGCTGACTTTGCTCTCTGGAAAGCCTCAAAGGCTGGTGAGCCAAGCTGGCCTAGTCCCTGGGGCAATGGCCGCCCTGGCTGGCACATTGAGTGTTCTGCAATGGCTTCGTCCCGGCTTGGAAAGCAGATGGACATCCATTCAGGTGGCATTGACCTAGCTTTCCCCCATCATGACAATGAGATCGCGCAGAGTGAGGCATATTGGAGCTCGACTTGCTCACACGTGCAATGGGTTAACTACTTTATCCACATGGGGCATTTGTCTATCCAAGGGTCAAAAATGTCAAAATCACTGAAGAATTTCACTACTATCAGAGATGCTCTTCGAAGAGGGGACTGGACTCCTAGAAGCCTTCGCATCGTTTTCCTGCTCGGTGGCTGGCGAGATGGAATTGAGATTACAGATGAAATTGTAAAGGCTGGGAATGCCTGGGAGGAGAAAGTAAACAACTTTTTCATCAGGGTCAAGGACCCATCAGTCAAGCTCCCTGAAACCACCTCGGACGAAGAGCTCCCCGCTGCCTTAAAGGCGGCTCAACACAGCGTCCACAAACACTTGTGCGATTCGTTCAATACTGCTGGCGCCATGTATGCCATTTCAGAGCTGATCACCAAGTTTAACAACACAAATGAAGCCGCTCTAAGTGCCCAGAATACCCATGCGGTAGCCAAATGGTTAACATCCATGGTCAACATATTTGGACTCAACTCTACAGCAAAGCCAGACAGCGAAAACATTGGCTGGCATGGAGACGAAATCGCTGAAGAGGCGAAACCCTATGTTTACCCTCTCTCCACTATTCGTGATACCCTTCGCCAAACAGCAATCGCCAAGACTGGCCTCACACCTGATTCCATCAAATCCGTTGTGGAGGAAGGACGAAAATCCATTACTCCCGAGCTACTTGACCCCCAGCTCACCAATTCGTTCAAGGATGTGTTCAACAATTTCTGCTCTAGTGCCACAGCTCTCACCGAATCGAGCAACCTATCAAAAGAGATTCTAGACCTCTGCGATACCCTCCGGAACACAAGCCTATTTGATCTCGGCGTCTACCTCGAGGACCGGTCTGACCTACCAGCGCGTGTACGCCCCGTCACACGAGACTTGCTCCAGGCCAGACAAGAAGCTGAAACCAGAGCCAGACAGAAGTTACTGGAAAAGGAAGCTCGTGAGAAAGAAGCTGCTGAAAAGGCGGCGAAGGGGAAAATAAGTCCTTTTGAGATGTTCAAGACAGGAGCATACAGTGCCTGGGATGAGGACGGGCTACCCCTGAAAGATGCAAAAGGCGAGGAGATCACCAAGAGTCAGAAGAAGAAACTGAAGAAAGAATGGGATAGGCAGAAGAAGGCGCATGAGACTTGGCTTGCTTCTCAAAAGACCGCATGATTCTAGATCAGTTTGTCCTTCTTCCTATTTTTTGATTTTTCCTTGCATTTGTAGCGCTTATTTTATAAACTACATGCATCTACACTCAATTGATTATATGGGTGAATAATTTCTCCGCCATCTACATGCATACCTATATATTTTTCCTTACTATACCATCCACCTCCAAGGCTAAGAAGAGTAGCCAAATACTTATGATGACCAAGGTTTACCCATGTTTTCGAGGCTCACTTTCTATTCAGCTAACAATTGTCATTAAGATGACCCATTCTAAGTTCTATAGATTAGATGTAACAACCCGTATCCGGCCCTCCACAGACGGAGATATGACAGGTAATCCTTTAGTTGGATGTCTCCCTCGAATGACCACCTTCCGGGCTCTCTTGATACCCTCCACAGCCTCGTCTAGCTGCTGGAAACTCCCGTCTCCACGACCATCGGCTTCAAACACTTGCAGCAACAGATTCGTGTCCGTCATCGAGCCCTCAGCCTCAAGCAGTGTCTCGCAATGCCGAAAGCAAGAATACCCATCAAACCCTGAAGCTATAAAGTCCACCATGGCCACCGTATAGAAATCCCTGGACAATGCAGCACGCCGTGGTCCATGCTTCGGAACATACATAATATCCCCTACTCTCTGTCCCTCAGGACGGCTCCAGTCTACCACCATGGTAAGCCCTGATACATGCAAAAAGCGACCATCAGTATGGGCATCAGATACCGAATTTTCCAGAGATGCTGCAAGTATCTGGCCGCTGACACGTTTAATAACGAATGCGTTATCAAACGGACTAATGTCAATGATGTCCCGGATCCGCAGTGGTTCGTCTGTCCCTGAGTCAATGATTCTGTCACAGCGGATAGCTCCGCTGTTGACAAAGGCAATATCCGTGTTGTAAAAGAAACGTACCACGTCTGCGAGCATATTCCCAAGATTGGTTTCTCGGCTGCGGATGATCCTGAATCTTCCTTCAAGGGGGATAGAAGTTATGACGAGTGGCTTTTCCACCAGTTTGGCTATTTTGGTTTGCACGTCTGTTATAGCCTTCACGGTTATGGGGCATGGCCGTATGTTCGCATAGTTCGGCAAGGACTTTAGGTCCGCAACCTGATATACTGTTCGACGTGTAAATTTGCTTCATGTGAGTACGTGGGTGTTAAGAGATATTGGTGTTTTGTCCGTCTTACGTTTTAAATTTGATATAGAAGTCGTGCCATCTGCCTGTTTAGGAACGGTGAGACGCAGCACCGACAGGCCATTCCAGTCTGTTCCGCTCTTTATAATGCGTATATCGCCTTCTGTGCAGAATATTCCGGTAGCACTACCAGAAGTGAAGCCCGGGTGGCGGACTCTCGGGTCGTTATTGAAATCTGTGGAAGATCTTTGAACGACGTCGTGGTCATGACCACCGAGTATTAAATCAACCCTCCCACTACCAGTTTTGGTATTCTGCAAGACTGCAATGTCCTCCGCCAGCCGCATATGGGTCAATGCTATAACAAGGTCGCATTTTTCCGACTCCCGCAGATGTCTTGCTGTGGTTCGGGCCACAGTGGCAGGTTCGCATATAGTACAGCTGGGTAAATGCTGGCAGTTTGATGGCCAGTCACTTGCTAACCTGTGTAAGTAGAAGACCGTACACAACCGATTGATTGATTGAACACTCGGGAATAATGATAGACAAATAATGCTAATAGGATGGACTTACGTTCCAGCCAAACCAATGAACCCAATCTTCAGCCCACCCACCTCTCGGATGATATATTTATGCGCCAGGGCTAACAACTTATCATCTCTCCCCTGGGTTGACTGCGAGTCCCTCCGCAGTACGTTTGTGAGCATCCAGGGGAACTTGGTGATTCTGGATAACTCAACGAGGCGGTCTTCGCCAAAGTCGAAGTCATGGTTCCCATAGCAAGCGACATCAATGTTCATGGCATTGAGAATCGTCGGTATATGCTCACCACGAAGGACGGACGCCTCCAGAGATGGGGAGAAAACGTCGCCGCTGAATAGTCGAAGCTGGTGATCAGGGGCTGAGACATCATCGGTGATGTACCGTGGATTAGCCAGGACGGTTGCGAAGCGTGCAACTTGGTCAGCATCGGAGATGTGATACTACATTTGAAATTGACCATATCAGATGTTTAGACCTATTGAATAAGAGCCTTATGATTGTACACCACATCGTTAAAGTGGAGGAGGGTAATGCCCTTGGTTTGGGCCATATCAACGCAAAGTTTATAGTCACCCCTGATACACCCTTAGAGGTCGATATTATTCTATCTTTTCAATTCTTCATTATTTAGTCTGGCAAACAGAGGAAACGCTTAGTTTTAATATGGGCTATCGAGTGCAAAATGGTAGTAAGGAAAAATAAGGGGGATTCTTAACTATTGATCATGATGACCTGACAGGGGTCTCAAGGCTGTCATCACAGTCATCACAACTCCACTACGAGTAGGCTTACATACAATGGCGAGCGGCTGGTCAACCACAGTATTCCGCAGTGACATCGAGATTCTGTTTACCTTGCGATCTAGCAGCTCTCTCTAAGAACGCTTCTGGTAGGCTGTTACTAGTTCTTTTCCCAACCCCTTTGGCAGTGACTTAACTAGTTAGGGCTGCAACCTATCATAAGGTGAAGAACCGGTTAGAAGAAGCAAGAAGAATAGTGAATGAATAAATGAAGTAAAAGAAGTGAAGATAGCAAGTAGAATCTGCAATGTATAAAGGGGCAAGGGTGGTAATCTCAGGACTTTCTTCTTCCAACTTCTCATATCCATCCCACTACTACCCTAACTACTTGGTTACGCAGCTACATAGAACTGCTAGTTTAGTTAACTAGAGAATTGATCAATCTAGAACCTAAAGGAAGACAAGAAACCGTTGAATCTTAAGACTTACGGTTGTATGTATGGTTGCTGAAGGCTACCAAATGGCCAAGTAGGCATGGATCCTACCACAAAGTCGGGTTGTACCGTGTTCGCAACCGAGCGAGGGAGAATTATGAAGTACGCTCAGACTGGGATGAAGAAAAGTCAGACGAAGACTTAGTAACAGCTATAGAAAGCCGAAGGAAGACACTAGAATATCTTATAAGATTTTCAATGCCATCGAATTAGTTAAAAAGAACTATTGATTTGCGTTGAAGATAAAAACCCCATAGTTAATGGCCCTGTAAGTTTTATATTCAGAACTTTGGACCTGCTCTCCATTGATAAACCAAGGTTAAGTCCACTAACTAACCATCCGATTTCCCTCTTTCGTGAAATCATGGTGAAATAAATGACCCTCGACGCCGGTACAAGTATGTGAGGATGGCTTTTGCCTTTGGTCTTAGCTATAGACATACGTTTATGCCTATAGTCTTGCTTGGACCCGTTCTTCAACGGAGCCAGGGCCCAGATTCTTTCGTCTCAGTGCCCGCTGTGTCATCTCACGAGCAACAACTAGGAAGGTCTTCACATAGTGTTCCACAATAGGCATGTCACTCTCTGTAGCCCACACAGGGAGCTTTATAGCGCACTGGTAAAATTGCAGCGCATTTGGGAATTCTGTCGTTGGCTGTATCTTGCCCCATCTTTTATCACCAAATCTTGGAACAGCTTCGTGGGAATGCGTAAATAGTGGCAGCTCATTCAACAAGCCTGTCGAACGCGGGATGTCTACTTCTTGCAGCCCATGGACATCGAATAGTTCTCGGACAAATTCGTCCCGGGTGAGGCCCTCAGGCGCCTTTGAGGAGTCGAATTGCATTACAAATGCATACCAGGCATGTTTATCATTGCTATTGTTGTTGACAGCAGGCATTTTGAGAAAGGGAATAGTGGCTAGGCCTTTAGCAATGTAGGAAGCATAACGTTGGCGGTATTGATCATGGACGGGCAGGAGATCAAATTGCTGGTTTGCAAGGGCTATTGCCAGTGGGTGGGCTCGCATGTTTAGCCCTAGGCCCGTCACTATTGAGTGGTAGATTCAGTGGTAAGCTCCTAAAACTAATGAATCTATGCGATGAGGTATTAAGTAGAAAGATATACTTACGCCAAAATTTCCGCAATGGATGATCTTGTGGAACTTCCTGTTTCGCACGTTTGTTGAAGTGTCCATGAAGAATGGCTCGTGAGTAGTAATCCGTCGAATTGGTAGCTAGGACGCCTGCCTGTCCGCCCATGACGTTCTTCTTAGCTTGCAACGACCATGCAGCCATATCACCCCAGGATCCAACAATCCGGCCATCCACTATCGCGCCATGGGCATGGGAACAATCTTCCAACACCTTGATGTCCACCTTTCGAGCATTATCGACAATCTGGCGCATGCGGCATGGCAATCCCCACATATGTGTCACGATAACCGCCTTTGTTTTAGACGTGGCTCGCTTGAGTATTTCATCTGGATCGATGTTTCCATCTTCCAGGCTGTCACAGAATATAGGGACAGCACCATACTGCATTAAGGGTGATGCCGTGGCAAAGAAAGTGTATACGGGGCACAGAACCTCATCTCCGGGTCGCAAGTCCAACGCCTCAAACATATGGAGAATTGCTATTGTCCCGGAGCTGCATACAAGAGCGTGCTTCAGGCCATGCATCTTGAGCCATTTTTCTTCAAAGACCTCATAAATGTCGGACCTGTTGTAGATGGAGAGTGAAGAATGCATCTGGCGCACAACAGCAGCCTCAGACTCGGGCGAAAGCAGTGGCCATATATGATGTGCACCTGCTAGAGAAGCTTGTGCATAAGATCCAGCAGAGTTTCCGGGAGTAATAACCGTCTCAGTGGCATTAGGATTGTTGTATGCACGGCGAGTGGCTTCCATCACCATGACGGTATCTTCCAGATTGGCGACAGAGGCAAGGAAATCGGACTTTGCACCGGTGACCCAGGCAGAGAATTGTTGCAACATCGAGTTGACAACATACTTCTTCTCCGAAGTGTCGTGGAAATGAAACGTTTCGTTGCCATTACTATCTCGCAGCCTTACATCTCTGCCTTCCAAGGCAAAGGTGCCGTGGGTACCAGTAATGATGAGACGTTCTTCGTTCCTGTGAGCCACTCTTGAGAGATGAACGTGACCTATGTTACGCTTTGCTGCCTCTCCAAAGTTCATGATAATGTTCGAAACGTCATCTCCCCCATATTCCTGGTCAATCCGGATGCCCTTGGTATTTTGGGCAGTGATTGAAGTCGGCCTCCCGAAGAGAGACACGATCATGTCCAACATATGGCATCCTAAGTCTTCCTATAAGGAGTAAATAACGGTTATTTAACTATATTCGGAAATAAGGCTTAATTGGGGGATACATACAGTAACACCAACATCACTTGTTGCTCTCCACGTGGCGTCCAGTTCCGTGATATTGGCTGTAAGTGTTGCAGTGAATGAAGCAACCTGTCCAACTTGGGAAATGAGATCCCTGATCGCCAGATAGCGTGGCTCAAAGCGCTTCTGGAAAGTAACGCCGATTTTGACGGGAAGTTGCTGAAGCTGCTGATATTCGGCCGGTGACTCTGCAACGGGTTTCTCCTTCAGGATAGGCACTCCTCTCTGAGCTAGAGCCCGACAGCATTCTAAGTGGTACTGGTGTGGGACGCAGACAATCGCAAAGTCTAACCTCTGCTTGTTGTTTTTCAGCAGATCGTCGAGATCTTTGTATACATTGATGTTCGGATGTTTCTGAGCAAACGCCTGTCGGGTTTTCTCGTTGGTATCACAGCAAGCCACCACGGTCCATGCTCTTGGGTTCTCGAGGATGATACGGAAATGGGTCTTGTATCCACGATGGCCAATGCCGATCATAGCCACCTGAAGCGGTGACTTCTTAACGGTAGTATTCATCCCTTTTTCGCTTATCAATAGCACACCAGAATGGCCGTAGTGTGGTTGGATCACTGTTGAGGTGGGAGTTGAATAGCAGGAAAGGTGGGCAGTTGAAGGACGAGAGCGCACTTTGCAGATGTACAGTGCGAGCCAGTAAAAGAGCTTATATGGAATACCACCTTCATGGCTGAATACTCTATACCTTATCCTATCCCCTGATAAGGCGTCCTGCAAAACTACTACATAGTGGCAGCCAGGTGTGAACCAGGTCCCCGTTTCCCGAGAGGCACAACTTGAATCAGCACAAGTCAGAAGTGCCAGTCATCGCGTAGTCATGACAAGTAGAGCAGCAGAAACACCAGCATGGCACGATACTGTATGTCAGTAACAGGGTATCTTCCTCCGTATCAAATATTTCGACAATGTGGTCCATTCTTCAATATTTTTCATCTTATGTTTTTTTTTTTTTTTTGTTGCCAGGGATTTGGTCGTCATCTGAGTCACATGAAATATTGCTGACTCCTCAACTTAATCTGGGTTTATGGCTTCAGGGGGAAAAGATTCAGGGGTCAGGGGCAGTTAGCCATCAGCAGGCAGTATACAATACTATGCTGGATACACTATCAAGAAGAAGACAACAGCAATGGCTCTCAAGAGAGAATAGATAAGTCCTCGTAATAACTAATATATCACTTTCGATATTCATCTACACTAAGGTCTTGCTAGCTACTGGCTATGTTTATGAGCAATGCCGCCTGAGACTGCATGTCAGGGTTCTCCAGCACTTGCTCCATACTGACAGATATCCCGTTTCCTTGATACCTTTTTGAAATACCAAAGGCAGCAATGAGATTGCCCCACACATTGTAAAAGGGAGTTCTCTCTGTCCAATATATGGCCAGCTGCTCTGGCTGACAACCCAAAGCATCAGCCCAAGCTTCCTCTACAAACAACTTCTGACTCTCGCGAAACTCCTGGGAGGAAAATATGACAGCATGAGATGATTGTAGCCTTACTGGATCCATGTCACTTTGAGAAACGGTGTCAGGGAGTAGCATGGGGATAGAAGGTAACTTCATAATATCTGCTGTAGCAAGCTGGAGTGGGTCATCGATATTGTCATGGAAGCCACGGATATGCTCCAGCATGCGGGTTAGCATCTTTTGTGCTAGAGACTCGGGGATGGTATCTTTGCAAAAATCGAGAGCAATAAATGTCTTTTCTGGTCCAACAGGTGTGCTGAATATCGTGATGTCATGCCGATCCGCTGGGGGCCGGATCTCATCAACCGTAAAGCGTTGCGTCTCATCCAGCTTGAAGCTGGTGGTTTCCTCGCCGAGGTTTTCGTACTCCACCAAAGTGCTAAGTCTCTCCCATGGCCGCCAGTCAGTACATTCTTCTACAATCCGCTTGTATTGGAAATTTTCGAAGCTGACGGCTTCAAAGTACTGTCCTTGTATTTGTTCTAGGAGCTGTCGCCGTGTCATATTGTCTCCAAGGCGAACTCGAACCGGGATATTGTCTATGCAGGCTCCTGCTACATGCTCGATTCCTGGGTACATGGCGTTCCGACCCCATATAACGGAGCCAAAAACGACATCATCGCTGCCAGACATTTCTGCCAGAACCAGAGACCACGCAGCCTTTATTATAGTGCCGATAGTTATCTCGGAGTCCGAACGAACAGCACTAGTATCGATCATGATATCAACTTGCCCATCAAGCACGTATTTCCAAGGGATGCTGGTGTGGCGGAAAATGGAAGTCATGGCAGAGCCAGCCAGCGTCTTGCTCCAGAAAGCTCTTGCAGAATCCTCACTATGTGTTGCAGCAAAGTGAGAGTACGCAAAGAATGAAGTAGTTGGGTATAGTTCCTGACCATGAAACGCAGAACCAAGCTCCCTGCATAGACGTATGAGGCTCACTCCATCATACTGCAAGTGAGATGCACGCATAACCATACGTTGGACTCTTCCATCAAGACCACGAATTAGCCAAAATTTGAGAAGTGAGCGAGAAATTTCAACTGGCATGGGAGTATCTGCTTCCACAACGTCTGAGGTAGCCTGAGAAACATCCTTGGTATACATGCAATGTATAATATCAACTGAAAGTTGCTTCAGCGTGACTTGGTAGACTTTTCTCTTGAATACCAAATAAACCGTCCGCAAGATATCGTGATAAAGTATCAGCCTTTCCAGGGCTTCTTGGAGATTGACAGCCGTAACGCCCGTTGTAGAGAAGTCAAATGTAATATAATTTGTACCACCACGGGTCTTCAGGGAAGACCAGGCAAGATTCTCAATCTGATAATCCGTAGCTAGAGCAGCATCCTGTATGTCATTAACGTCCACACCCAAGCGGGGAGCTACTGTTTTGGAGATAAAATCTTTGCCTAGACTAATAGGCAAGGCGGAGAAGGGTTCATATAGTGGGCTACCATCTGGCTGTGGGTGTTGATTCTGCTTTGCTAGAATATCAGATATTTGGTTCAGTCGTGGATTCGAAAGAACCTCAGCCACAGTGACCTGAAGGCCTTCGCTGCGAGCTGCCACAGCAAATCTCATAGCAAGGATGGAATTTCCACCCAACCAGAAAAAGCTATCTTCTCTGCCAATGTTATTCACTTCGACACCGAGTAAGTCCGCCCAGAGAGAAGCTACTTTAGCTTCAATTTCTGTCTGGGGTGCGGTCTTTGGTTTAGCCTGAGATGAATACGTCAGGAAATCCGACTCTGACAGAAGCTCGCAGGCTGCTTTGAGCAATTTTCTGTCTGCCTTTCCAGATGCATTCGTTGGTATGTATGCCAGGGGTAAATATAGTGAAGGGATAAAGTGTGTCGGTAGACGCTTAGTCAAATATTCTTCAATCTCAGTTGCTCTAGCTCTGGATCTATCAGATGCAGGTAGCAATAGATCATGCGTTGGCATAGTGATACAATCACTGCGTGCATCCAGAAATGCAATGAGCATCGGTTGACATTGGCGGTATAAAGGATAAACTATTTCTACCACTGAGCCAAAATTCGACCCACAGAGTACTTGATTTATGTGATATTCAATCTCACCAAGCTCTATCCGATGACCTCGGATCTTGACTTGGGTGTCTCGACGACCAAGAAACTCCAAGCTACCGTCAGCTATATATCGAACAAGGTCACCTGTATAGTAGATTCTCTGGTGTCTAGCTTCATTTTTCATCCACGGTATACAGTTTCTGAACGAATCGGCATTTAGGGTATCATTCTGCAGGTATCCTCTGGCAACCGTTGGGCCTTGTAGAGCAAGCTCACCGACAGTCCCGATAGGTGCAAGCCTTTCCCGGTTATCGATTCGAACAATCCACGCATTAACTGCTTTAATAGGTTTGCCCAGGTGGCTAGGATCTCGGATTCCTTTGGATAGCAAATGAGCTGTTGCTCCAACTGAGTTCTCCGATGGACCATAGAGGTTGAATAGGTCGACTTCGTCTGCCCAGGCCTCAATGATATCGTCACTGGTCACCTCCCCCCATGTTGCAAGAGTTTTTAGGGTGGGGGCATTCTTTGGTGTCAGTGTCCTAGCAAGAGTCGGTGTCATGCCCATCCAGTTGACCTGGAAGTCACTTATGGCTCCTGACAGGTCATTGAAGCGGCTCTCTTCAGAGGGGATGCAGACACAGGCTCCTGCGAGCAGTGTTGTGACAACCTCGGTCAAAAAAGCATCAAAACTATGGCTTGCGAATTGGAGAACCCTAGACTCCTTGTTTATATGGTATGCTTCGATCTGGGAGATTGCGTTTGCCATGTAGGTACGATGTTCCATTATAATTCCCTTGGGCGTACCACTGCTGCCAGAGGTAAATTGAATGTACGCAGCATCCTCTGGCTTAACACTGGTCGAAACGAATGTCCCGGCACGGTCTGGTTCGGACAAGTCGCTGTCAAACAGAGAATCATAGACGGCTAGCTTTGTGAGTGACCTGTCAAGTGGTATCTCCAAGGAGTCTTCCAGATCTTTGCCAACAAGCAGGACGATCGCCCCGGTAGTCTGCAGAATATACCTGTGTCTCTCTTCCGGATGGTCATGATTCAGGGCCACAGCAGCTGCACCAGCCTTCAAGATACCGAGCAAACAGACAGCCGACCACTTTGACTTGCGGAACAAAAAGGCCACAGTGGACGATCCTGGATCTACGCCAACTTCATGAAGCTTCCAAGCAACACGAGATGAAAGGACGTCTAGCTGGCGGTAGGTTAAATCACCGTCCCAGGCGCAGATTGCAGGGCTCTCAGGCAATTCTTCTACTCGTTTGCATATCTCATTATGGAGGCAGACATCGTAGGAGCCTAGGTCTCGATCGTTCCAAGCCGCGATATTGCGCGCGTCGGTGGCTGGGAGCAAATTCAAATCACATAGGCGCTGGCCTGCATTCTCGATGAGCTCCGAGATGGTCTTTGAGAGCAGTTCTGCGAATCTTCTGGCCTGAACCGCGCTGAAGATGCTGGCCGGGTAGTTGATGCTGATTTCTCTTAATGGTAGATTCACTTCGACGGCCAAATGGGCGCGTGTTTTCTTTTGATACCCCAAGCAGCACAAGACATCAGCAACACCCAACATCAGAGAAGGAGCCATAAGAGTCTTACAGGTGAATTACGAGGGTCAACATGGTCGATTTTTTTGCTGGCCTCTGCGGTGGCTTTGGAATCAGGGTCTCGAATCGAGAGTATGGTGTCAAAGAGGCCAGTGGAACCAGCGAGATCAAGCAGACTCGGGCTTGAATCACCAATAATTGGCAGCTCTATCTCCTCAATCAACTGAGAGAGGTATGAGAAGGTATGCTGGCTATCGAGGTGACAACGAAGCAGGCTATTAGTGCTGCCCGTTTCCACTCCAATGCACACGTCTTCCACGCCGGCGTAGCCCCCAACCGCGGAGCAACAGGCAAGCTTCACTATTATACCCCCTGGGACCCGGTGAGAACGGCTGAATTCTACCAGAGCGCCTATATCTAATGCATCCTCGATTGTCACTGTTTGCAAATCAGCCAGCAGAGACGCTGCGAGGCGACTTTCTTTGGCACTGAAGATACAGCAACTATCCCAGGTCTTCCATGCAGGCGTGGCCTCCTTTGAAGCCGCCTTCATTTTGCTATCTTGGATCTTCCTTGCTAGGAAAGTCAGGTATCTGGATTATTCAGTGGAACCAGTATATCTCATTCACGATATCATCGGATCGTCCAGTCTCACGAGATATATACATTGCGTATCTCTTGGTTTCATGCCACAGTTGCCGTGTGTAGGGGAATTGACTAGTTAGGTATCCTCCCCATGCGATGACTTCAGTTCGCGGCCCCTGTCTCGAACAGTCATGCTGACACCACCCTCACCCCCTAATTCCTGTAGCCATATCAGCTAGTCAGGGGACTGGTGTTTGTCACTTGACAAACTTTTATTATTGCTGCTTGTCAGCTGTCACCATTCGATCTAAGCATGCACCATTGATACCCCTGTCAGGCTGTCAGGCTGAATGGGCACCATGCAGCTCGAACCACTGGGGTAACCTGGGAGCAAGGTTTATTGACACAATGTCAAGAAATGGGCGAAACTTCCATACCAGCGAATGAATTATTACATCCAGGAAAATCTGGGGACTTCACTCTACAGAAGAGAAATCGGGCTCTACATCCCTTAGCTCAGAACCATTCACGTCTACCCTGACCATGGAAAACAAAACCTAAAAGAAAAGCCTTCAAGGACATAAGTGAATATCTAATCAATCCCGGCTTTCCATAGTCATTGTAGGGGTCAATCAGCTCCAATGTCCTTTATGGATTGGCCTTTAGCAATACCTCAACAGCCTCAATATTCCCCAAGGACGCGGCAATTTCAATAGGTATCATACCAGATTTGTCAACAATATTCGAGTCAGCGCTATAGTCCAAAAGCAACTGCATCATCTCGGTGTCATTAGTCTCAGCTGTATCATGTAAGACAGTCCGTCCTCGTTCATCTCTGGCATTCATATCCACTCCATGTCGTAGCAGTAATCGTACTACAGCTGTTTGTCGATTGGCCACCGCTATAGCCATGGCATTCTGCTTTTTGTCCCGAAAGCAAGGTCGAGGTCCGCTAGACCCGGGCGGTTGCCTGCTTATAGTCTCAGTGATCCCAGCTCTTGAACCGGCCTCTGATGGTGACTGTTGGCGAAGCGATGCAAGATCAAGTGTGTCATGAAGTGACGTGTCCCCAAAGTGTAAGCTCAGGTCATACTTCCCTGGCGAAGGACTCATCGCAACGTTGGTATAGGTGGCTGCTGGCAGAGGTGTTCCGCCGCTTCCAAACCCAGGATCCGAGGCCGGTGTTAACGTAGCGATTTGAGTGAAGGTATCTTCGGCGTCATGGTAGTAACCCTGCATGCTGCCAGGTTGACTTCTAGAAATCATTTGTGCATTTGGTTGTAGATTCTCGGAAATCCCTCGAATGAATGTATCGTCCAGTTTTGGATAATCGGGGCGCAGTATCACTGCTGATGCTGTATCCGAGCCCTCATCCTGAGCATCTGATGATGTGTGACATGGGCTATTAAAGCTACCTCCTAAGCTGCAGCTTACATTTGAGGTCAACATTGTTCTGGAACCAAGTAAGGTCTGTCGATTAGCTGCAATTGAAATTGCAGACTCTTTAAAGGCTTGCAGCTCTAGGTTCCTAGCTTGGAGCTCTACAATCTGCGCTTTTAAAGCATTCCCTATATAATCAACCAAATTAGCAACCCCATGGTTACTCTAAGATATTGATATCTCCTCGTGGACGAGCTGACAGATGGACTAAATAGAACAAAATGAAAGCAACTTACGCCGTTTTCTTTGTGCATCTCTATTCTGTTGGCGCCGTCGTTCAACCAGGGCATCGCTCGAAGTTGGTGACATTTTCAGATAGCATGACAAATTGCCTATGTAGAAACAGTTGCTTGTTTAATTAACTAGCCACACGCCAACTAAGGGCCCACAGTGTAATCCGGTAGAATGAGGAGTCCAGTATCGAGGGTATTCTTTCAATATAGGAGTATGACTATTTAGAGGCACACATAGTATATGTAAGAAGACGACAGCCCAGAGGAGTATGCATAGTAACATTCAAGAGAGTAGACAGCTGTGATGGGACATGGGATTGTGCAGGTGAGCTTTATCCTCTGAACTATTTTTGACCAGTCAGTCCGCTGGATCAAAATATTCCCTGCCACTCCCTGAAGCCCAGTGCGTATTATCCGCGGAATTCCGGCTAGGCCTGTTGGCTCTGGTCCAATGGGGTTCCTTTGTAAAAGCTAATATTTTGGCTCGCATCCTCCTTCAGGTAGCCCGCGATAAAAATTTATCACTATGCTCTGGAAGAGAGAGAGTGCGCTCGCTAGATGGCTAACAATGTCAAGGGTTTTATCCCATCCCATACAAAGCTGAAAATGTGGTTGTCCAAGAAGTCATGCATGGGGCCAAACCCTTCAATGGCTGTGCTTCATTGAGCAGGAGATGAAGAGTAGGCCAATCGCTGTTCATACTAGCATAGAGCTTTCCTCGTTTTCGCCAGCGGGCAGGGCTGAAGTGCATATAGACACCTTCCTGCCCTGAGCGCTCCCCTCTCTTAGCCATACCGCTTCGTTGCATGTGCATGGCCCTATGCAGGACACCCCCGGTATGACGCATAATCCATGTCAACCGTCTGCGAAATTCCGGCGACGCCGGTGGAGATATATCCGAAGGGCTTGCCACCAGCCATGGGTCCGGTCATCTGTGCGCTCTCACGGAGAACTACAAGATATGTATCCATCCGTTACGATTTGCTAGCCGTCATCTGCTGATAAGTGGTCTAATCTGATATCATACCACTTAATTAAACAGCCAGGAGTGACATACAAGTAATTTTTATACAGGTGTATGCCTCAGTAAAGTTCTCGCCCTGGTCTACTGCTTCCAGTAAACACAGGTATCGGATGGTATCTCTCCCTATGCTGCATAATTATGACTTTATGTATGATTACGAGATCATACGGTGCCATGAAGGCCAGATGGAAGCTCCCTGTTGGCTTCTCGGCCTACTACCTGCTGCGAGCACACCCTGCTCATCACGGTGCATGTCACAGGCGGGGAACGATGTAAACGACTAGGGATCAAAAGAAGTCTAGAACACCAAGCGTGTATTTAGGGTACAACCCGATCAGGAACCAGCCAATAGAAGATGTCAGGGGATACCTTTATTGATGAACAGCCCGATCACTTGTGAATGGAATATATTTGTGTCCCCTAATGCACGTAAAGGGAATTTGTTGATTGGCTAGAACTTAGGGCAATCCGGCGCTAACTGTGCTTTTCTATTGGGTATTGTTGCCTATACTGTTGGCACTCGATTCATTTAAGAATTTTGACCAATAGAAAGTAGACATAGCCGCGATTGTCCTTCATTGTCATCCAATCCATCCAATCCAACTCAGAGCAAGCGCGGAGAAAGAAAACGGGATCTCATCGCCAGAAGTTGGTATATTTTTATGGTAAAGGAAACACCAGCTGGGTTTGAGTCCCACACATGCCACTGCTTTCCCCATCAAGTCACATGGCACTATCAGCAAGTATGTAGAGAATTCTCCTGAGATTGCCAAAAAAAAAAAAAAAAAAAAAAAAGGATAACACTTATGGTGCCTTCGGAAGCCTTAGGTTACAATCTTCCTCCCTGGTAGGAAGAGCTGGCACCAATGTCGGTACCTCTCATACTTAGTTTGATGGATATCGCAGTCTTAATTCTCCCGCGGCCGGGTAACGATCCATGCAATGGTAGTCTAGTAATGATATTGAATCAAAATGGTATCTAAACCTATGAAATGAAAAGATATCCAAACGGGATATTAAGAAAAAGAAATCATCAAAGTGAAAATCGTATTGTTCACCGTTTCATAAGTTGTTCTCGCTTTTAAACTTGTCCCATGCCTCGTTGAGGGTGCTGAATACCGCGCCGGAAATCATCTTCTGCTCAGTAGTAGCGTTTACGGAAATCTAACATTGTTTAGCATTGCACTGCTTTCTTCAATCAATCGATACAAGACATACCTTGTCAGGATGCACCTTGGCAATACCCTTCATGTACTGAATCTTCACTTTATTGGGAAGAATCAGCTCGGCCATACTGATCTTTTTCCATCCCGCTTCGGGCCATAATACAGTGTCTAAGCTGGCTAGGAGGGCACGTAAGTTGTCTTGCTTCCCTCCTTTCCAAGCCGCGAGTTTCGCTTCAACGGCATCAGCGAGGTCAAACTTCTCGTTATCTATTCGGTCAGCGGCCTCATTTGCTGCTCGGAGGCGACTGACCGCCTCAGCCGGCTTTGTCGAGACCGACTTGGGAGCGGCAGGTCTAGGGGCTTGTTTGGGGCGGGAAGGTGCCGAAACAGGCTTAGATGGCGTCGACGAGGCGCCATTTGGTCCTATAGAGACGGCCTTTTCACATCTGTTTCGGCCTTGTATGCTGGTATTACCGCCATGGCCAGATTCAATAGCTTCTCTCCAGACGGCCGACGCATCTTTCCATTTTTCAAGCTGTTCTAATGCCTCGGCCTTCCTCATCAGGGCCTTACCGAAGAACTCTCGCATATCCTTTGGTGGCTCTCCATTGCCGAGATCGATGGTCTCGGAGTCACCCTTCGAGGGACCAATGATAGAGAGAGCACGATCCGCGTCACTAATTGCACTCTTAGGTTCGCCTGTCTTTAGACAGGTCAAGGCACGATTGGTGAGCAAGATGATAACGATGGGGTGGTCGTTGGGTATTAGAGAAATGGAACTGGAGTATGAAGCGTGCGCTACAGCATAATCACCTCGCTTATAAGCCTCTGATCCTTTCTGTCGGTGGCTGTGTATAGATGCTAGTGATGCAGGGGAAATCTGTGGGACTGTCCTTGGAGGTGCCTTTGGCCGGACCGGGGTGGAAGTGCGAGATGGCCTTGCTGGAGACGTTGTTGCTGGACGAGCTGGCCGAGCTGGCAGAGACGGACTTTGCAGTAAGTCTGGTTCCGGTGCGTCAAAACCAGGAGGAACCGAGGAGGCAGCTTTCCTCCTCCTTGCTGGGCTGACGTACGCCTGGGACGCCTGCTCTTCTGCATCAAAACGTGATAGCGGTGTTCGCCGTTTTCTGGCGTCCGGTTGAGGATGATAAGACGGGCGTTGGATCTGCCTCCGTAGATCGTCCTCCTGCTGAAAACGTGGCCTTGAAGGAAGTTCCGCCGGTCTGCCTCGCGAGCTAGCCTGGTGGGGCGAACCTTGGGGCTCTCCGCCTCGGGAACGTGAAGACGAAGTTGATGGTTCTCTGGATGTTTCGAGCATCATAGCTTCATTCGTCATGGTTTCTGTCTGTGCTGATCCCTGGGGGGATTCACGTCGGCTATCCACCTTCCGCTCCCTGCTTCTCGGAGGATCTGGCGTGCTATCTCTCATCCAGCGAGGCTGGGACGAAGTGTCCGAGGAGCCGTTATTGAATTCTTGAACTGCCTGTTGAACCCGCTTCGTACCCGTTTTCCAAAGCGAATTGGCTGATTTGAAAAGAGTGCTTCCAAATTCGGATGCCAGTTGAGCGGGATCCTTTTCCCTGGGGGTGCCATTGTTTGAAGATCGATCGCGAGAGGAAGCATAACCATCGCCTTCCCTCCTTGACCGTCGAGACATCCCAGGATCCGGTGATCTCTCCTGCTGGCCGGTATGGTTTCTACTTTGTGCCTTTTCCTTTGCCTCGCTGTGAGCCTGATTGAGCAGCCAGCCGACGGCTTGCTGGACGTCTGTACCGGACGAAGTCTCGGCAAGGGCCTCTCGCGCCTTGTGAATGGGGAATCCCATATCTACTAATTCTGCGATGGCTCTATCTTCCGGGGTACGTCGTGAGCGCTCCGCTTCAGGCTCTTCGGGGACCTCAGCTGCCGGGCTGGTCGTCTCACGTTTCGGAAATTCAGATACTGGCTTTGCAAGGAGGCCCAGTACGTCGTCATCATCGTCAGCACCATTTAGCGCCTGTGCCTTCGTAGCTTGAACTTCTGTCTTCTGGCGCCGGCTTGCATTAAACTCCGCCATGCCGAACGGATCGTCGTCGTCGTCCAGGACAGTAGTAGTAGGAGCTCTGGCGGGAGAGCGGGAATCTGCCCGAGACAGAGGAGAGGGGCTGGGGATAGGAAAGTTGGTAGACTTGTCAACAGGCGCAGAAGCGTTGAAAGCAGCTAGCAGATCATCTTCATCATCGCCTCCAGACGTTGTCCCGCCCTTTACCACACCGGCCTGAGCTTGGGGAGCACCTTGGCCCGTCCCGGACTTCTCCAGACTGTCCCATATCTGATCATTGACTCCGCCATATTGAGCCTTGAGCTTCTCCTGCCTCTCCCTCTCCTCACGTGCCTTTTGTTCCGCCAGCTGCTTCTGCCTTTCGGCCAGGGAGAGGTTCTTGGTAGCGTTTCCAGACGGGAAGTTCAGCAGATTTGCAAAGCTATCATTATTTGAAGGTGTCGTTGGCTTTGAGGATGGGGCCTTATTCGAAGCCGTGGTGGGTTGTGGAGGAAACGGACTTGAGCGGCCGGACATGGGGGGTGTAGGACGTAGAGTCGCAGCAGACATGCTTGAGAGAGTGTTTACCGGTGCGGGCTTCTGGGAGCTCGAGCTCTGAGTCCAGTCAAGGCCCGAGAGGTCATCCATAATTGCGATGATAGGTAGCGAACGGCGTATGTAGAGGGAGAATTGGGCTCGCTCAGCGGGTTATACTGCGTTGGGTGTGAAACTGGCGATGCTGGCGCAAACAAAAGGGGACGAAGCAGAAGTGATACGCCAGTGTTACGCACAACAACATTGCTCAGCGAGTTCCAGCAGACATCTCGGGCGTCATGCCATCCCGCCAAACAGCTTCTCTATAGCTTGTAAATCAACACAAATCAGCAAAAACAAAGTGGCGCTTCTTCACGGCGTTTCTTCTGCTTTGCCTGCAAAAACATCGAAAAAACAACCAAAAAAGGGCGCTCGGACCAAGAGAAATTCCGCGGGTTTCGGAGTTTCTTTTATCCAGCCGTTATTATGTAAGACATGAGCCGAGGTTGCAGCAAAAATAAAAAAAAGCAGATAAAACATTAAGAAGAATATACGGACTAATGACAAACAGATTAAATCATTGGAGGACAGAAAATGACGAATGGTTCGTGCTTGCAGGATGGCGATAGATGTCTGGCTAGGTATGACATGGTCTGAGATGGCATGACATTTGTCCTTTGGTCAGTCGGTGTTGCTCCGTTTTGCATAGATGAAGGCGTTGGTCGTAAGTGCTCCGTTTATTATTGAATTTTGGCCACCCCCATAGTCAACCGTTCTCCCTTCGAAGTAACTGCTCCGAGCTTAGGCTGCGTTTAACTGGCTTCAAGAGAAACGGTGGCCGAACCAGAGTATCAGGATGCCAAAAGTCCAATCATCATGTCTTCTCACCGAACTCCGGACGGGACGCTGTGCCTGGTCCGCGACTATAACCGATTGGCAACCATGCCTTAACGCCATATTAAAGCTTACAGGCAGCAGAAGCGGAGAGCAGGCAGTCCTTGGGTGGGAGTGAGCAGTAGTACAGCTTCGATCCCCATAGCCGTGGTTTCCTGTTAGAGGAACTATACTATACGAATTAAGCTCCGTATGCTGTCCACTGCCCACTGGCTGCCATCCAGTTCTATTTGGTCAACGAACGTATGGGATAGAGTACGGCTGCTCCGTCAAGTGGACACTTTTGTGCCGTCCCCTTCGCCAACACGGACAAGAATCGAGAAGTGCTGCCAGGGCCTTTTTTTTTTTTTTTTTTTTAACCTTCGTTGCCTTTCTCGCCTTTTGTTTGACAAATCTGTGCCGTTTTCCATTTTGCTTCTTTCTTCTTCGTGGTAGGCTCCAGCAGGCTAAGCTCCACATGGCTTTTGAATGGCCGCGTATCATTCGTGATAGGCCGGTGCTAGCAGGACCCAGCAGATGCAGGTTTAAAACATCTAGCCCTCGTCGATGGGGAAGTTAAAGTACCCCGTTTTTTCGATTGAGGATTTGCGTGCTTTCTTACTTGCCAGTTGATGTGTGTCGTTTCGAGACGGGGGGGATGGTCCTCTTTTCCTGCTGCCCCAAACTATTATTTGGCAGTTCAACTAATTATTTAGGTCCTCTTCCTGGGATGTCATTTGTCGATATCCATGCTTATTGTCCAGCATAACCGAAGTATAGACATGAGTTAATCGGCCGGGCTCCATTTTAAGTGGACGAGATGGCCCTCGCGCAGAGGAAAGGTCGGGTTCGATGGCGGCATAAACTCCATAAAACTTTCCCACCTGGCGCAAATATTGATGTATGTAGGGGCGAATTAGCCAGAGCTTCTTTGCGATGGCCATGCGATCTTAACCCCTTTCCGCTCAGAGTCCAACCAGGGGCAACGTATAACTAAACGAGTTGAGATAACCCCCCCCCCCCCCCCCCCAGGGATGCTGATAGGAAGTCGCTCACAAGCCTGGTCAGGAAGAGAGCCTGGTTTCTTTCTCCTGTCAACTGTTATCCTGCATGGATCTATCCCGGGTCCAGATGGGCAACTTGAATGCTACCGTTTCTCGCTCTGGCAAGAATCATGCATGACAGTTTGACAATGAGTTTCCGTAGCCGTAATATTAAGACGGGAAGGCGGATTTGCCCCTGATCCCTGGCCTGTCGCGGTGCCATGTAGCATGTCAGGACTTGTCCATGCCATGCTAGTCCAGACGGCTATATGCGAGTCAGTATTGGCTAGCTATATATAAGTACACAACGCTGGACGGACAGTTGAGCTGGTTAGTTCATGCACCAGAGAGAGAGAGAGAGAGAGGGAGAGAGACGGAGAGACAGACGCATTATTCGACCTACATCATATAAGGACAGACTCAGGCATCCACCCCATCCCCAGCGCCGGCAGACCAGACAGGCATAGGAGCCCGGTCCCAACCAGAGACCAGAGATCCTAACGGAGGACCAGGACCAGCAGCCGGCCGCCAGCCAGCAAGCAGAGCCAGCATCCAGCGAGCCGGAGAGAGAGATGGCAAGCTCGTTTCCGCCCCGCCAGCCAAATCTCCCCACTGCTTCAGCTCTTTTTCCATAAATAATATATCTCTGGCCGGGTAGCTATCGTCTTGGATCGAGATTTCGCTCCCTTGCCCCGTCGTGTCTGCGTGTCCTGCCCGTCTGCGTTGTCCGTGTATACTCCGGACTGTTCAAACCAACCTGGCCTGCAGATAACCCGCCAGCAGAGAGCAAAAGTTGACCCTATTTTTCGTTTCTTTCCTTTTTTTCCCGTCTGGATCTGCGAATCAAGTGACTCTGCAAGCCACGACGTTTTTTTTGCTATTTTCTGTATTATTTTTTTATTTTTATTTTTTATTTGTACTTTTTTACTTATATTTTGTCGCTGCTTTTTTTTTTATTTTCCTCGCCATGGGCTTCTTCAGGCGCAAGGAGGGCCGGGCAGCAAGCAACAACAACAACAACAACAACAACAACATCCACCACCACTTCGAGAAGGACGGCCAGGAGTCGGTGTTCTCTAATAGCAGTTCCAGAGCGTCGAGTACGTCTGCGAGACTGCCGGTGTCTTCCATCAGGTCGAGCAACAACAGCCCAACATCCCATCCAATACCCGAAGCTACCATGGCGCCGCCGCCAGATCCCAACCTGGACCCAGCAGCCTACCTGAGGAGTATCCATGCCGTCCGCCAGCGGTGCGGCCTGGTGATGGAGAAGGCAAAGGAGAACCAGCTGAACCACTTTGACGTCGACATGAGCAAGTTCCAGACGACGGCACAGTACATCGTCTCTATCATCAAGGTACGCGGGGTTGACTTTGATACCAAACTACAACCACAACAGCAACAGCAACAACCACACAAACAAGATGCATGCTAACGTATATACATGTCCTGTAGAGAGACTACGCTCCGGATTTCCAGAGCATTCCTGACCACGGACGCTGGCAGCACTTTGACGTTGGCGGGAAGCCTCGCATTAACCAGCTGCTCCAGTCATGGCCTAGCACCATCGACAATCTGGAGAGAGCTCGCAGGCTGATAGATCTCTTCCTTGTGTCGGTTCTACTCGATGCCGGTGCCGGAAACACCTGGAGCTACAAGTCAAAGGAGTCTGGAAAGGTGTACAGGCGGAGTGAGGGGCTCGCCGTCGCCAGTCTGGAGATGTTCAAGGCTGGAATGTTCAGCAGTGACCATACCGAGCCATGTCAGGTCGACGGAGCTGGTCTGAGGCGTCTGACCGTGGGAGCGTTGGCCAAGAGAATGCAGCATTCCGAAGAGAATCCTCTTGCTGGTCTCGAGGGCAGAGCCGGCTTATTGGCGCGGCTGGCAGACGCTCTGAACAACCAAGAGCTCTTTGGTGTTGATGCTCGCCCCGGAAACATGCTTGGTAGGTGTTTCATGCTGTTTTCTCCCTTCCCCCCCCCCACTATTCGGTATTGCAGTACTAAATGTTTACTAGACTACCTTCTTTCTCACCCATCTACTCTCGCTTCTTCAGTTCCCATCATCCCCGTACCACTTCTATGGAATGTTCTTATGGACGGATTGTCTCCCATATGGCCACCATCCCGCACACAGATCGACGGAATATCGATTGGTGACGCATGGCCTTGCAAAGCCATGCCTTCATCCCCCCCCCCGCAGAACCGTGGGAAAACATTGTCCCTTTCCACAAGCTGACGCAATGGCTCTGCTACTCTATCATGACTCCCATGACTAAGATATTGAATATCCGGTTCTCAGGCCGTGAGCTGCTTACCGGTCTACCGGAGTATCGGAACGGCGGACTCTTGATCGATATGGGTCTGCTAACATTGAAACCAGAGGACACTAACCGGGGACTGGATGCATACAAGGCTAACGCTATGATCAAGGGCAGCCAAACGTGGAGGTAGTCCCACTGTTCAGTCCTGATGATGATGTCATCGTGGAATGGAGAGCTCTCACCGTTGGCTTCTTGGACCAGTTGCTGGCAGAAGTAAACAACCTCCTGGAACTGAAGGACGGACAACAACTCTGTCTCGCTCAGATGCTCGAGGCGGGTTCATGGAAGGTTAGCTCCCTTTCCATTTTACCTTGTTTTCGTTAGATGACCTTGACGAGTACTGACATAAACCTACAGGGCGGACGAGAGATTGCCGAAGTCTCCAGGCCGAACACTAAGCAGCCTCCTATCATGATCATATCGGACGGTACTGTCTTTTAAATCAACGCAGAAAAAGCAACGCATACGACCTACGTTTATTTCGAGGAAACTACACACTCTACGTTTATGTCTGGAGCATCCCTACATCTACTTATATCTAACTTTTATTTCCTTTCTGATCCAACATATTCCTGACGTGTTTATGACTATCTAATTTTGGTTATTCTCTCCCTTCTTTATGATGCTTCATGCTCTACTTTTTGTCTTATACCTCTTCTCTTCGCACCTTTATTCTGGCCTCCCTTATTTTTGCTCTCAAGGAAATTTTTCCGGTGGCCCCATTGCGTTTTTTGACAAGTTATATCAAATTCATAGCGACATATTCCCTTTTTTCGTTGGAATTGGTCTTGAGGTCTTCGTTTTGCTCTATCGACTTTAGCTCCCGATAGATGCGAGAG